TGTTGCAAGAATATGTGTCTTGAATTATAGATGTTTCTCTTTCCTTGGGTGAATTGCCTAAAAAGGAAATTTTTAAGGATCTGAGGGATTTGCGGAAAGAGTTTTTTCCCAAGTTATAGTTTAACTATACATTTATAGTTTAACCTAGCTACAGATATTATAATATATATATATATATATTTTTTAAAGGCTAGCTTATTCCTGCACCAGTTTTAAAGTTTTATTAAAGTCAAGATAAGTCCTAGGAACAACCAGGATAAGTAATTATCTATACTATTTAAGGATTTACAGATCATCGAATAATATAAGAACATTTATTTACATCTTATCCAACCAGGATAGAATAATTATGTGATTGTTTACTGTAGGACTTTTTCTTAATTCTAACTTAACTAAGGATTTGGAGAAGTTTTAATACATTCAATCTAATGAAATAATCCCACCTATTACCTTGAATATTCAAAAACAACACTTTCTAGGACATAGTTCACTGGATAACTCTGTTGTTATCTCCTTATAGGAGAGCTAACGTGTCAGGAACTCACCTAAGATACCCAACATCACCGATGTTGAGGGTCTCTTATATGAAATCCTATTGGCTCCATTAGTACTTTAAATTTTTTCTGGGGCTTGTTATGTTTCTTGTACTATCTGATTACTTGATTGGAGTATCGGTCTTATGTAAAGAATATCAATCCTTTAATTGATAATCTTGAGTATCGAAACCTATTATGCTTCTTTCAACAGCACACTGGACTAAATTTTTAACTTGTTATGAACCTATTTTAATCTGCTCTATGAGCAATCAAGTCCTTTTTTTATTTGAGAGATGATCTTGTTTATGTTTCTGGAATCTTACACTACTTATTTTTGGCCATATTCATGGAACCTTATGTGTATCTTATCTTGTTATGGCTGTGATAAGTGGATAGGATCCTTTTTCACTTTCCTATTAGATACCTATAATTGGTTATGTGTGGAGGACTTATGTTACTCATACTAGTCTTATATAGAACCTTGTATTGATTTGTCATTCTTATCATAGGTATAATGAATGTACAAGTTTTCCTTATTACCTTATGGAACACTTGATCATCATCATGGAGGGATGAGATCTTCATATCACCTTGTGACTAAATTTTTTCACTTGGTTCTCATGTGGTATTGAACTCTGAACCTTGTAATTGCATTACCACTATGCTACCGACCCACAGGTCAGGTATTATAATATATATATATATTGTATATATAATAAAAATATTAATCATATAATTGAATTTTCAAAAAATGATTGCTTAAATATTTTTTAAATAAATTATTAAGATCACATGCAAGCTTAAATTGTCTAGATCATATATAATTTTTGTTATTTAGAATTAATAAATAAATAAAATTGATGGAATGATAAAATTAATTGTGAAAAAAAAAAGAAATAAATAAAGAAATAGAATTGAAACTTAATTATATTTGAGCTTTCGAAAATTATAAAAAATTTTATTAAAATATCGAAATATTACTGTATATAAAATAAAAAGCAATCATTAAGGTTACTTAAAAATTTTAAGTTGTAAGAAAAGCTTGTGTAATTTGAAAAAGAAAAACATGCAATAAATGTATAAAAACAATATACTGTATATAAAATCTGAACGTTTAATTAAGAAAATTTGGTTCCCTTCAAACTTAACAAGAATTTTTGTTTTTTTTTTTTTTATTTTTATTTTATTTTATATTTTTTTTTTTTTTTGAGATAGCTAAGATATCATAGTAGAAGCAAAAAAAAAAAAAAGAAAGTCAATTCTTTCATCGATGCAAATGCAATCGTTACAAGCTCCAAACAGGAAAAAAAAAGAAGCGATAACAAACAGATGGAAAAAAAAGTATAGACAGAGAAAAGGGGATTGGGTATGTAAAACAAAAACGAAAAAAAAAAAAAAGAAAATACAATAAATAACCAAAATTCAAATGCTTTCGAGGCAAAAAATAGGTGCCGACACAATCCCAACATTTTTTGAAAACGATGTCAACATAATGTTCATTTCACAGTCACAATTGAACACGCGTCCCTCGATTGCATTGAAGGGAATAATAAAATATAAGTATATATAAAATATATATTCGTAAAGGATTTTTAGTGGATAAAACTTATGTGAAGAATAGGTGATAAAAAAAAAAAAAATTTTTTTTTTTGATCTTTTCATAATTTTAAGTAGCTAGTTTCATAAAGGCGGATATATATAATATATATTTAAACGTTTTCGGTGAAAGAAAAAAATCAGATGAGAAGCCGAGTTTTCTTTTTTTTTTCTTTTTTCGATATGATGCAGGGAAAACAGAAAAAAAAAAAGAGAAAAGAGTAAAATATGTAGGAGAAAAATATACAACAAACTCGCATCAATGGAAGCGGTACCATTAGGTAAGAGTTTGCTTTCTGCCGGTCTATTTAAACAGTGTGAAATATACAGTTGGCAGTCTATGTTGTTCGAGATGCAAATACAGAAAACCAACACAGAGAAATATACGTAAAAAGGCACTTCTGAGTGATGGTTTAGAGTATTTGAATCTCGAAATTCTATGGTATATAAGTCTATTGAAAAAAAAAATGCAGATGCTCTATGTATATGTAAGAAGGAAATATTGATTATAAACACAATGAAAGCGAAGTATATATATATATATTTGGGAGGGGAGAAAGAAAAATGTTAAATAATACAAAGGTAAACTGAATTTTTGTAGTGTCCAAGGATTTTTTTTTTTTTTTTTTTTTTGGCAGAAGGGCAAAGACCGAAGAAAAATTCGGTCCGCACAATCATATATTTTAAACAAGCAGGAAGATTTTTCTTCTGAATCATAACTAACAAGAAGACAAGAAATCCAACTCAATGCGCTTAAGACCGTGTTGGAAGTCGGCCAAAAGTTGTTGCGAATTGCGTCGGGGAGTGTCGAGTGCAAATGCGTAATGTTGAGCAAGGGTCAACTGTGATTCTTGGGATGACGGGGAGATATCAAATGAAGGATTAAGCACATGTCGATTATAAGCAGGCTCAGCGTTATCATAGTCGCGAAGAAAACCCTTTTCTTCTTCAACTGGTGAAGCCGTATAGTGTCCCATAGCCATCAGATCATAGTCAGTGGATGACATTTCAACGGTCGATGGGGAACACCCAAAGAACGATGTAGACGTTGAACTTTCATATGATGGAGAATCAAGAGCAAAACCATCATCAACAGGCAAAGTTGCACGAGCATTAACATCCATCTGATTGTGATACAAGTGATTCAACTGCTCAACATCATTGAACATGGCTTGAGTGGAAGTCAAATTGTGAGAGGGCATCAAGTTGTCCTGGGGTGCTTCGTTATTGTGAGCAACTTGACCAGCTTCGTAACGTAAGGCCGAGGTTCTTCCCAAGTGACCGTTCATATGGAAGGCGGGTGGTGAAAAAGAGGCTGGTGAACCAACGAAAGGTGAAAGCAGGGGAGTAGATGATGTAGAGTCGCTATTCCAAGAGCTAGCAGAGTCTACAGAGGATGCTCGATAATGTCCGAAGAGAGCCTTCTTATGCAAGTGTAAATAAATTTCCTCCTGTTCATCACCGCCCTCTAAACCCAAGGAATAAACGGGCTTCCCGTCGTCACTATCACCCAACAATTCATCGGCAAAAACGATCTTAGAATCCGTCTTCCTGCGACCATTGACCTTTGTTGTTGCTTTTGTGCCTCCTGGAGCTTTTACATTTTGCTTCTTTTTCTGTGGTTTGAACTTGTAATCAGGATACTTCAACTTGTGTTCGATTTTTAGTTGCTTTGCGCGTTCTCGCCAGAATTCTTTGACATCTTCCGGTTCGCTGTTCCACTTATTTGCAGCGAGTACCGATACCACCTTGTTATTCATTCCGGGATTTTCAGCCAAGAACTTTTCCTTGATGTGCTCACGATAGGCCATGAAACAATTTTTCGGACGAGGAATATAGTTCTTATCGGCCATACGTTTACGATAAGCAGATAAACGTGGAGTGGAAGTTGTGGTTGCGTTTGCCTTTGCATCGGTGGAGGTTGGTGTTTTTGATTTTGGAATGTCCACTGGTTTGGTTGTTGAGACGGAAGGTGAATACGAATTTAGTGAGGGAGCGTTTGTGGTAGTATTAGTTGACTCGGCACTTTGAGCGCTGGTTTCTGAAATAGCTTGTTCTTCGACCTTTAAAGGTACTAGGACGACATCGAATCCTCTAGGCACGTGATAAACATTATAATCTGGGTCAGAGGCGGAAATTGGTGTGTGGGGAGAGGATACGTCGGACGGTGAGGAAGGTTGTGACCAACAGGTAGCTTCTTCACTTTCTTGTTTAAAATAATCCAGACTGACGGTTGAGTTCATTGTGTTTGTGCTATTGACCAAGTAAGGTTACATAATTGAGTTAGGTTAGGTAATAAGTATTAAAAAAAAAAAAAAAAAAAAAAAAAAGCTAAAATAAATAATAAAATAAAATTTTTTTGTTTTTTTTTTTTTTGAGCGGGAAAGAGAGAACTAAGGCGGGAGAAAAAAACAAACAAAAAAAAAGAAACAAAGAGAATATAATATTCAGTGTGGAGTACATACTATGAATATATTTCCTTTTGCAATAGCTTCTTTGAGATAGTTTTACGTTCTTTGTTTGCTTTTAGGAGAGAACCTAATTGGAATACTTTTGAAGAGAAAGAACCGGAAAATTTTCTTTTTTGCTAAACAAAGATACGCCTAAGTGGGGAATGAGGAAAAAGAAAAAAAAAAAAAAAAAAAAGAAAACAGACTGCTTGTTGTTTATAAAGTTTTAACGTTGATTGCTCTCAGAGCGACCGACGAGTTTATATATATTTATATAATAAGTCTATTTTGGTTAGAGAACAAATAAATTTTATTGGGTTGAAAAGAAGAAGAAAAGAGAAGAAAAATAAGTGAAAAAAAAAAGAGTGGGGTAAATATAATGAAATAGGGGACCGAGAAATTGGGGACAGTGGTGCGATATTACGGTGAACGGGTGTGCAGGGAAAAATTTTTGCTAAAACAATAACGATAATTACACTAATTACAACGATTGGTTATTACCTGAATAAAGTAAAAAAATTTTTATGCAGAGTACGACCGGTGATGTCGTATCGCAGGAAGTGAGAGATACAACTCTTGCAGGGTGTACGTGTTTTGCACCTCTCAATAGTCATTCCATACTTTTTATTGATGTACAAATATAAATATTTGCAAAATATTTTAAAGACTCTTTTTTCACACTCACGAAAATCCACCACACTACACAACACTGTCGGCAATACGTTATTCATTTGTAGTAGTTTCACAGCAGATATTTACAATATGAAATATAGGTGTATGTGCGCATGTATGCAGATGAGAGAAATCGCTATTTTTCCTGCGGTTATAAACCCCGCCCGTTTATTTATTATCGTTTTTTTTTTTCCGCCCAAAGGAGTTAACCTTAACAAATTAATGATACCGTGCTGTGCGGTCCGTTCGTTATTAATCGAGCATTTGCTTGTGGGCGATGATGACGTTCCGTGAGTAGGTTATGTGTCATTTCTACCTTCGAGCATTTTCGAGACGATTGCTCTTGTGTAATCAGCAAAAAATGGAATTTTCTCCAGGACGAGCGGAGAACCAGCATATGATATTTTTGTGAGATGCGCACCAATACACCACAGCTTATCAATAATTGCCTAAATTGATGGATGAATGATAAACTATGTTAAATTTGGAAAATCATGATTCAAATTAATTATGTAAAGTTAAAAAATCTGCCATTACTGTTATTCCGTAAACATCAGTCAATACATCCGAGTTGCCTTTAGAAGATGACTCTAAAAAAAGTTTGATTGTTCTTAAATAAGTAATAAAATATAATAAAAATAAAAATAACCAATCAACGAAGGCAAACTTTTTGCTACAGTACGCAACCACCAGAATTACAGCAAAGAGAAATTAAATCACTTATTGATTTATTTTTCCATCTGGAAATAAAATCTGCGAGTAATTCGGTACACGAATTTAGTGCATTTTTTCGCACCTAGAATGTCGTCACCACCTTCGGAGTCACAAATATCCATAAAAGTATAACAAATGTAATTGATAATTTTGGTTATTTGATTGCTTCATTGTATCACCAAGGAAGAGGTCGACTCACATGCACTCACAATGAATTTTTTTTTTTTTTACATACGTTACATACGTTACGTACGTTACGCACATACATACACACGGACGAAAGATAACAAGTTTCAATACAGGTATCCTGACTCTTCTCTTGTCACAGAACGGAGGGTGACCTTTTTACTAATTTTATGTGTCACTCGTCCTTATCCTCCTGAAGAACTTGTCATTTTTTCCTTTCTCTTTTAGTAATCATTGATGGCGATGAACACTACGAAGGTGACACGGTTACGAGAAAATATTAAAAAAAAAAATATGCATGTGTCGCATTCTCTATGCATGCACATGATAGAATAATAATGAAACAACAATATCAAATGTGTTCTTTTACTTCCCTGCCTTTGATGTCGTCTTGTATGGCGTTGCAGCTATATTCTTCTCCAGAGACAATTCTGAGCGCGATAAATTTAACAACGGGATAACGAGCTTCCCGATAACAATGGGAACTGTCCGTTAAGAAAACTTTTTTTGCGACTATTATCGTCTTCTGCTGATTTTTCATGCATCTGGTCGCTCTTACTCTGTATAATTGTCTTGGCTCTTATTCTTGGATTTTCGTACCACTTCCTTATTAAGCCATGTATGTTGCATATTTGAAAAAGTCTCGTAAGATCGTGCAGCGATTTTATCAGTCATATCAACTTGTTAATTATCACATTCACACTTTAATAAACCACCCTAGATCTATATAAAGCTGATATCAGGTCACGATTCAAAATCTTGGGATCGTAAGATTTGTCAGAACCCGAAACCTGACGGTTCATATGATTTGTTATTTAGCTACCACGCGGGTCATACCGCCGTGATTCCAACATTCACGTACTAATAGGAGCTTAGGGATAACCTGTATATTATGAATGGTAAGTTTCGAACAGTTGATGATACCCTCTTTTTTTTACCACCTAGTAAAATTACTGTATGTGCTGTATAGAATATAAATAAAATAATTTCTATGAAGTTATATTTTATTTAAAATATTTTTTATTTCTATTTTTATTTAGGTTAGTTATTAAACATGTGTAAATTATATATAATTTATATATCACAAAAGCTAATTTTTAATTAATTCACTTGTCCTAGTTAACAATTTCAAACAAAACTTTATAAATAATTTTTTGGTTTATTAATAATTCAAATAAATATTGTTTTGAATATTAATATTATTATTTATAGATTATCACTACAAATTACTATTTTAAGTTATAATAAAAATCAAAATTCAATCACTTTATTTTATATTGGATTTATTTGTTATAATTTTTATAAAATCTGATTTTTATTTTCTTTTTAAAAAAATTTTTTATACAATATGTTGCAAAAGTCTTTGAACTAATATTGCTTTACAATTTTTATTTATAATTTGATAATCAATAAATAAAATGAAATGAAAATTTATATTTATATTGTTCAAAATATAAAAAATAAGACTATTGTGATCAAATTTATATTTGACCGGTGTGTCCAAGTGGAATTGCTTTTAAAAGGACAATTCCCAAAGAAAGAAT